AATTAATAATGTATTTTATTATTATTATATAAATAATTATGAGTCAATCCAGATTTATATTTGAAACATTTATAATTTATGTCCTGAAAAACTTTTAATATTCAGTTAAAATCAGACATAGATACCAAGAAAAAGTAATTTTAATAGCAACATAAGGAAGCTTTTTGAAAAAAAAAATCTCCAATTAATTTATTTAAAGATTTTGCAATAAATATCATGAAAGTATTAACATAAATTTGAATAAGTAATGATCTTTAAATCTATAGCTTGCACTAATATATGAGCGATCCTGCACGCTAGGTCTCTATGTATTAAATTCTATAACGGATGAACGATCTGTAGATAAAAAACTTTTAACAAACAGTTGTTTGAAATTATTTTCAAATAAAAAAAATTATAGCACAGAGAACATAGTTTTTACAAGTATAGATAATATCTGACAATTATTAAAATCGTTATCATAAAAATGCTTCTATGCAAATTGAAATAATTTCAATTATTGTACTTTATCTTAAACCATTGATAGCTAGAATATTATTTTTGAAAAGGACATTTTAATAAACTTTTTAGATTGAATTTGAAAGTTACAAATATTTTTTCTGAAAATATTTATAATTAACATTCAAATCTTTGAGGAGACTGGGGTAACTACGGTTACTTTAGCAAAAATTGTTAAATTTCTGGTTCTATGACTAAATGTTATGCTATTACAACAAATAGATGCATAAACATTATGAATTATGTCAAAATCTCAGATTTTTAAAACATATTCTTATGTGTATATACATGGGAATTACAACAAGCAACCACAGGAGCAGAGCAAAGACGCAATACTATTATTTAATACATATATATTTATTTACACACAGAAGCATTATTTTAAAATAATCTCTGAAATATAGTTCAAACTAAAAGTTGTCTTCAAAAATAATAATGTAAACAAATACCATTTTACAACAATTAAATTACAATAACAATACATAACAATTAACAACTGAAATACATAAACTAATTAATAACGTATGGACTAAAGAAAAAATGCCGGTGGACTGGAGTATGGTAATGGTCTCTCCGATAATCAAGAAGGAAGACCCGACGAAAGTCGAAAACTACCGAAGAATCTCCCTCTTGGTCGCAAGCACAAGGTTTTGTCTTTGACTATCCTCAGTAGACTAGAGAAATATGCAACTGATATTATCGGAGAATACCAAAGCGGATTTATAAGAGGACAATTAACTGCAAACCATATATTTACTATTCGACAAATTATGGGAAAATACTATGAATGCAATAATGAGCTCCACATGATTTTCGTTGATTTCTATCAAGCTTACGATAGCATAAATAATGATCAATTATGGATTTCTTTGGCGAATCTAGTTATTCCGAATAAATTAATAAGAATGATTAAGATATGCACTCCAACACACTCTGCAAAGTCCGATGACAGAGGGAGCATCTCGTAATTTCGAAGTAAAATCGGAGTTAAAGCAGGAAGACGCCCACTCTCCCATATTATTTCATCTCACTCTTGAAAAAGTCTTTAGAGATGTAGAGGAAGACTGAGTAATGGAGCTTAATGAAAATATGACGATGTTGGCGTATGCGGAAGACGTTTTCATATTAGGAAATAGTTCCTAGAAAACGTGTACACACTATGGAAAAATTAATTGCATCCAGTCGAAATATGGGCTTTATAACTAATCAAACAAAATGCATGCCAATGGCATGTCATATGCTCATTAAGAACGATTTGGTGGTCGAACCTGCTATGTAATCAATGAAATTACCGATGAGTAGCGGCAAGAAAACCATTCATGTGAATAGTTGATAAAGTTGATAAATTTAAAAAAAAAAAAAATCAATTTTAGTACATTTTAAATGAGATATCACTATTTAAAGTTTAGTGGATTTAACAAATAAAACCGTAGTGGGGTAAATACAGTAACATTAATATTTAATGTTCAGATAAGAACTATCGATGCATTGTACAGTGACTTGAAATTTACGCATCTTTTTTAAATCAACGTGAGTAATACTTACGTCCCCTAAACTTTAATGAATCATAGCTCGCTGATAATTGATTAAAATAAAAAAAAACCCAGTACAGGGGGGTCGCGGCACAGTGGTGACGTGTATAGATGGATCAAGTATAATGATATCTGACAGTGATTAAAGTCACTATCCTAAAAAACGCTTCGATGAAAATCTTTAGATACTGTTTAATTTTAAAAAAATTGGTGGATTATTCCAAAAGCTACATGATCTGCTAGTTCCTTATTAATATCCTGATTAAGATAAAGTATGTCGAATAAAATAGGGATATAAATATTATTTCTCAAACAAAAAATTATGTTGATCCATACACTTTTCAATATGTTATATACTATAACACTATATATAATACTTATAAAGTTAAAAATGAAAAAAATAAAATTGAGAATTTTCACACAATAATAGCATTCGGTAGCCATTTTCACCATGAAGATAAAATTAAGTCCGAAATTTCTTTTTTCCATAATAAAGTACATCACATTAGCTTTAATTTAAGATATATATAAAAGAGTCAGACTTTCCAGAACACTTACAAAATTTAAGTTAAAAAAGTAAATTTTGTGTGAAAAAGTTGTCATTTTAAATTCCTTCCTGCGCCAGGTAAAAGGTCAGATATAAAAAAAATTTATACCAAATGATAGGTAAAGACATCATGCATCTATAAAAAAAAATTATATTGATCCATACATCTTTCAAAAAGTTATAGCATTATAAAGTTAAAAATATAAAAAGAATTTTTTTACAAAAATCGTATTTTTTTTTATAAACTTTGATGTCTGTTTTTACCATGAAGATAAAATAAAGTCAGAAATTTTTTTTCTGCATAAGAAAGTATATTACACTAGCTTTAATTTAAGATATATATAAAAGTGTCAGACTTTCCGGAACACTTTCAAAAGTTAAGTTGAAAAAGTTCTACTTTCTACATGCATTTTTTAGATTTGAACCCCGTTTGTATATTTTAAGCCCCCCCATATATAGGGAAATGGTCGCATTTAAAAAAACAGTATGTCAAATGAAAGATGTATATGAATACTACTCCTCATGAAAAAATCGTACTGATCCATACATTTTTCAAAAAGTTATAGCATAATAAAGTTAAAAATGTAAAATACAAAATCGAAAATTTTCACACAAAAATAGCATTCAGTAGCCATTTTCACCGTGAAGATAAAATAAAGTCCGAAATTTTTTTTTCGCATAATAAAGTAAATTACATTAGCTTTAATTTAAGATATATATAAAAGTGTCAGACTTTCCGGAACACTTTCAAAATTTAAGTTAAAAAATTTAATTTTTTGTGAAAAATTGGTCATTTTAAATCCCCCCTTGTAATATTATTGATAATGATATTATGCATCAATATAAAAAAAAATTATATTGATATGTTCATTTTTGAAAAAGTTGCGGCAGTTTTTAGTAAAAAAAATTGAAAAAATTTCAAAAATTAGCGATTTTTAAATTTGTAATTTTTTTGGAGGTTTCCCTCATTTACGGGGAATGAGGGCATTTTTTTCAATTTTTGAGGGTAATGTCTTCGACTAGATACAATTTGTGATCTTTTGACGTATCATTGAAAGCAATCGGTTCGGTGAGAGCTGAGAAAAAGTAGTAACAGACACACACACAAAAAAAAAAAAACACATCTTAGTAAAACAGTAAGACTTATAAGACAGTTATTCTCTTCACATTTGGATTTTAGTTCACTAATGCCTTTCAATAAAATATCTATTTGCTCTGACAGTTTTACTTTGAGAATTATTAAGATTATTAATATCTTTTCGTATGTCTAAAATGAATGTATAAAGTTCAGAATTAGATGGTACTTTTGTTTCAGCCATGATACAACTTGATGAAAAATCCTGTTGTAGATAAAATTTTCTCGATATTAATACTAGATCTTTCAAATCCAAAACGAACAGGTGACTTGGTTTTTCTTTTTCCAGCGCCTTCAGCCATAGATTAAAAGAAAAATGTAGAATGACAGATAAGCGATTATCAACAGTAAGACTTAACGTACCGTCAAAAATAAAATAAGAAAATTTTCTAAAGAAAAAAATAAAAACAAACAACAGATGCGTTTAGTTGGTTCAAGTTATGAATAATTTGATTAATCCTCACTATGGGACCGAAAAACAAACAGAATTTGAGTATAAACACTCTAAACAGAATTACAAAAAAAATCAAACACAATAGCTTGACTGCTTAAGTAAAAAAATGAAATTTATAACAAAATTTAACACTAAGACGTGAAATTTTGTCAAATATCAATTATAATAACAAGACAACAATAAAAATGAAATCCGGTTTTCGGCAGACGTGTATGTTAATGTTTGTCGCACAAACGGATTAGATATTAAAATAATTAATTGTACTGTTAAACAATAAAATAATTAAGGTAAGTTAAACTACTAATCGCACTAGTAGCAAATAGAAAAATACTACGGACGGTTTAAATATTAATAAAACATATTATGTCAATAACAAAAACAATAAAATTCAGCTGAATAATAAAATTATGTAAGCTTCAATATGATTACTATTTTCAATAAACTTAAAAATAAAATTAATATAAAGTGAAATCCCGACGTTAATATTGGTAAGTTAATTAATATCAGATAATCTGATTGAACTTGAAATTTAAGTTAATTTTACCTCATATACCGCACTATGAGTATAACATAAAATAAAATGTCAGTATGAGTACTGGCAAAATAATACTGTCGGTAATAATAATGTGATCACAACAATGTGATTAAATAAAGTCTTCGGATTTATCAGGCAAAATGTTCATCAGCTTTCAAGCTGGAAATTTAAGCTTGTAAATATTTTTTTTTTTTTTAAAAAATGTGAGCTGAACCCGTGATAAAATTCAAATGTTCAATTTTTTCACCAAAGAAAAATACAAAAAAGTATATAATTTAAAACAACAAAATTATATTAGCTTGGCCAGTCCAACGACTGAAGCATAGGGGTATCGTTATAATATTAAAATCAGTTTATGTATGAGCTTATACATAATGCAAGAATATTGATTTTATAAAATTTAACATTAAGTTAAATGAGCAAAATAAAATAATAAAATTAAAAATAGGTCAGTTCATTACTTGTTCAAAAGTGACTAAGAAATTAAATCAAGACTAGTCATGTCAAATCAAATGACGATTAAAAAAAAAAACAAAATTAAACTGAAATAAGTCGACAGACAGTCGGATAATTACTCAGCGTAATTTTACATAGATGACTTTAATTTGTTGGTCAAGAATAAAGATTGTGCTTAAAATTTAAATGCTAATGTACTTAAATAAAATATAAGTTAAACTGTCCGAACAGTGAAATATAAAACAAACTCATATTTGCTGTACAGATTAAGTTAACAATTAATATTACAATATATAATAAATCGATAACTATTGATTTAAGTTAAAAAAACTGTGGTAAGCCGGAATAGACGTCGCACTATACCAAGCAGTCATAACTAAAATATAGGTTAAGTGATAACGGTAAGCCGGAATAGACATCGCACTAAACCGCACACTAACAAAAAGTAAAACAAAATAATCAAGTTAAGTTAAATTATAACAGCAAGCTGGAATGGACTTCGTACTAAACCGTATAATAACATGAAATAAAGTAAGAGTTCAAGTGAAGTTAAGAAAAGCACAACTTTGTTTTTTTTTTTTAAAAATTTGCATATGAAAATAATTCATATGACTTATCATAGTAAAATGTGACTGACCTAGGAGAGATTTTGGGGAAAATATAAAAAAAATCCTGCAAAAGGAACATGCCCTATGAGAGAATAATATAGATTTAAATATATATATATCTTAAATAAATATCTTAATCTAATTCTTAAAATCTAAGACTTCAATGAGGTCTTCGATGTGGACACATAATACAGGCGTCTTCCATGTATTGTAGTAATGATTAAATCCAGCGGCGTAACGCATAACCATGTGACTCGGAAAAAACTCGCTGACAGCTACAAGGTCACTCGAACCACCACCACAAANCGACAGCTACAAGGTCACTCGAACAACCACCACAAAAAATAATACATACAAATACACAAAAAGGACCGTACGGCTACAAACTTCAATCTAAAAACAAAGGTGAGGCAAATAACATGTCCTAAGGACCAAAATAGTACACTTATGTTATGAGCTCGTAATGAAAATTTAATGAGACAATATATATTTATAATATAACGACGTAAAAATAAAAATTGAATATAATAAATAAAATTAGTATAAGTATTGTAACTACGATAAGAGAATAAAACATTTCCCAAGGCATGTGACCAATGTCCTGGCGTCATGTTTATACCCCCCAAACCATAAGTCAAATAACGTACTGATTAAACTATTTTTACGTTAAATGAAAAGGTTTATTGTGAGAAAAAGTAAGTAAAGACATTTATGTCTTATCCTGGCCAGGGTCGCCATTCTGCAAGCGGGCTTTTATTAATAGTAATTCGGCCTGTAACAACAACGTGGTTTGCTACTTGCATAACGACTAGCTAGAGTAGCAAGGGCGCCACCACCTAGGTGAGGTGTCACACCTATCAGATATGATTACCGGACCATAGGTGGAATTTAATTTTAAGTTAATTAAAAGTATAATCTAAGTTAATATGTCGTTATATGTATAAATTACTATAATGCCTCGTGGTTTATAGAACACAATTATGACAATCAAAGTTGTATGTGGTTGATATGTAAAACATACCGTAGCCCGTGTCTAGATTAAGGAATAGGGATAAATACACGCGAGTAATTAAGTTACTCGCGCAATAAAATAAATATTACAGTTGAAATTAATAAGGAAATTTAATTTAATTGTTAAAAAAAGAAAATTAAGTTAAACATGGACAAAAATGCGAATGCATCAAAAACCATGTCTACAAATAAAGGCAATACAAATAAAATAAAATATTTAAACAAATAATATTACAAACATCACGGACGGTATTGGAACACATCCGTTAATGTTAACAGGAAATTAATGAAGAACACCAGGAGCGGTCTGGACACTCGCTCCTTAGCGTTGGCTAGAAGAAAAGGGAAACACGTGCTCTCCACACATAAACAAAATTAAGTTAATTTACAATAAAATAAAATGAAATAAAATAATTAATAAAATATAGCTCATTACATAAATATAATATAAAAAAGAAAACGATACCCGGTCTCCGAAGAGACCCATCCGATGGTCTGAATGCTTCGTCGAAAAGACCTGGCCGTTCGCCGTTGGCGGCTCTACTCCATCATTGTACAAAAAGTGTCAATCAAAAAATAAACGTGTGCACCCTAGCACGATCAATGACAGAAGAAAGAATAGAGAAGAGTCAACACCGATCTAACGGCAATTTCAAATCGATAACGGCCAGTCTTTTTGGAAGGGATCAATACTGATAAACAATTCGATTTTAATTATATTTCTCTTTTATCGCCTTATCTAGCGGTCAGAGGCAAAATAATGAGTGGTTGACACCGCTGTGTCAGAAAAAGGTTCTTTCGCGCGATAAAATAAATAAGTAGACAAAACAAAAAATCATAAACGGTCCACCTTCGAATTTGTGACGTTACAACACACATATGCATTTATAACATTGTGTCTAATGTAAGTGTTGCGTACGAGGCAGCTAGACCGTAGGACGGCTAGTTGTGCACCGCACTAGAATGCCGTTTTACCTTAAGTCTGTTTAATAAAACGTTAATATTGATGCGGGAGTGGGTCACCTAGGAGATGACGGCTAACTATAAATCCAATAAGTAAACGAGAGTAGACAATAATTAAATAACAAATAATCACATATATTAGAAATTACTCAGAGAGTATCTTAAATTTAAAGGGTAACGGGGGGGCCCTTAAATACTAGTAGCCGTCGAAGCGGCATAAAACATATAGTTAATCTCAATTAGAACAAACAATAATTAACATTAAAAATAATATAAAACTCAACTGTATAGATGACGCTGTTGATGATGATGATGAGTGTATGAGATCTTGTGGTAATGGTGTCGTGCAAGGGCACGTAAACTTTGAGCACAATGGTGCAATAAACAAGAAATAAAAAACTATGCCGTACAATGGCCGAATAATTTACTATTCAAGCGAAGGCGCTTGCAACAGAAAAAAAAAGGTGACACGTAAAACAATCGACTAACTGACTTATGACAATGTACTGCCCATGGATGAAAAACGACACGGAGGTCATCGATATGCTGTTATGGGTGGGCAAGGAGGCGAGTAAAGCAAGATGCTGGTGATCAGCTGTCCCACCAAATAATATAATCAATGATCTTTATAACAACTGGTCAACTAGATCCTTCTAAAGGCGTTCTGTACCATACAGTAAGTGTAAAGTGTATTGATAAAAAGTAACCGTAAAATGAAAAAAAATGGAATATAAATTTTAGTACTCATATGAAATGAAATGTAACTCGAAAAATATTCGTTTAAATGAAAAAATATACGATAATTTTTTTGTTTATAATTGTCTTTTAAACAACTTTTGTACGAAACTGTTTTTTGTAAGTTAAATATTTTCTGAGAAAATAAAAAAAGCTCATAGTTTTGAACTTTTGCGAAGCTGTAAAAAAAAAGCTCAATTCCAATCAATGAGGACTATTAGTATGTCATTATACATATTTTAATTCAACTTTTAAAAAAACAAAATTTGGTTGGGAATTTTTTCGCAATTTTTCCTTTGTTGACTGGCCTAGATGTCAATTTTAAACTTGTAATTGAGTTAAAAGTTATAGTAATATTGTTATATATTAGTGGCTGCACTGTTAAGCAGCTTCTAGATAGTAATCCCTTTCTTTAAGATGTTAAAATAATGTAAAAAGAGCACACTCTTATGATTTTATAAAATATAGTATTTGCTGTTAAACATAACTTGTTCTTATTTAAAATAAGTATTATTAATATACATAACAAATATATTCAATTTTTTTTACTTTAAACTTTCATAAATCTTTATCAAAAATGTTTCATCAACTTTAAAGAACCAAAAAAATAGGTTAAAATTGAAAATTTGGACTGATTATTTTTAACATATTAAAAATCAAATCAGTAATAATTTGAAAACAAATTTTTTTTTTCTTTTACTTATTATTATATATAATTAGTAATAATATAAAAAATTAGAAGTGATCGAAAAAGTCTAATTGCAGATTTGAAAACAACGCGAAAAGTTGATTTAGAAAGTATATTTTTGCTTCTGATGAAAGTTCCTTGTAGTCCAGTGCATTTATTTATAGTAACAAACAGTTTTTATTGAAAATTATAGTATCAAGCCCTTTAAATTTTTATACACGTTAAAGTAAAGCAAAATATAACTTCTTTATTATTTTTATAATTTCTCCGTTTAAATTACAATATTAAATATCAATTTCATACTAAATTTAATAATTATAATTAGTATATATTCAAATATTATATTTTAAAATCAAAGAACTACTAATCATGATNAATGGGAGAAACCTCCAAAAAAATTGCAAATTTAAAAATCGCTAATTTTCGAAATTTTTTCAATTTTTCTTACTAAAAACTGCCGTAACTTTTTCAAAAATGAACGTGTGAATATAATTTTTTTTTATATAGATGCTTGATGTCTTTACCTATCATTTGGTATATTTTTTTGTAAATTTGACCTTTTTTCTGACCACAGGGGGGGATTTAAAATGACAACTTTTTCACAAAAAATTTACCCTATGAAATATAATTATTAATAATAATAGCAATAAGATTAAGTAAATCAAAATTATACAAGGTTTACATTGATATAATTATATAATTGTTGACATATTGTAAATTAAAGATTGCAATCTTAAATGCGTTATATATATTCTTGTTTATAACAAATATGATAGAATTTGGTAATACAATATTTTATTCCTATAATTTTTGTTGATTATAAAATAACATCATATAAGTAATTTTATTGAACAATAATGAATTGTGTTAGTAAGTGAAGCATATTCAATATTACTTTAACAAATTTAAATAATGATATTAAAGTTATTATTGCTACTATTTGATTGTTTTTTTCTTATTTGATTTTCTTTTTTGTGGTAATTACTATTGTACTACTTTCCTGGACAGCATTCATTGATTGGATTGATTGGATTTCGTCTCGTTTTTCTCTCTTGAGATGTACCTCCATATAACCTCTATGAAATACAAAATTTTGCTCCGGCTAACCTTTCTATGATTAAACATTGTTCCGTATGACAAAAATTAATATGTATATTATAAATAATAAGATCATAAATATTCAATATTTCATTTATTAACATTTTATAAGTTTTTGTAACAATATATATTTTTAAAAAATTATATAACAGCATCAGACATTATTAATGCACAAGCAAAACGAATTGTTTAATACGACATTTTTAAATGTTTAGAAATTTTCTTTTAAAATAAAAGATGATTGTTAATAAAAGATATCAAAAAAAACCTAATATAATCACAGCAAATTTGAATTTCTAAATACACTTTGATATAAAATGTTGCCACTTTCACTATTAAATTATTCAAATAATAAAAAAACTTATTTAAATTAATCGATAATCCTTAACTTTAAATTATTTTTTCTATTTCAGTTGAACAATTTATTTAATTGAAATAAGTTATGATATTTCATATCTTTAATAATTTTGTATGATAGTTTTATTTCACTTAAAAAATGAATAAACACCAATAGTAACCTAAAACTAATTTAGGGGCTAACAAAATTATTTGATAAATTTGATTAGACATTATGTTACATATTCATCGTTCATCCCAGGAAGAATATTTTAAAAATATTATACAAGAATTTTTAACTAAATTACAGACATAAACCCTTTTATAAAATAAAAATTATTTATTTTAGTAATTATATTCATATACAATAAATATATTACACAATAATGATTTTTATGAAAAAAAAAAAAATAAGCAATCGTTTAATTTATGTATTATAAAAGTCATATAAAAGTAAAATTAATGTTATAATTAGTTAAAATTCCTTTATAAAAATAATATTATAGACAATCAAATGATATTTTATTTTAAAGTCATTGTAAAAATTTATTTCAAAATGATTTTATTATAAAACGAAATACAAAATTGCAAATTTTGCAAGAGATTGAATGAGACAAACATTTTTAGAGAACAAAAAAAGCGTTTTTACTTATAATTCTTGAAAAATCGATGTACCAAAAAAAATTTATATTCCAGCTGCAGGAATATTATAATTATCAATAAAATATTTCACTGTGAGTAAATTGTCAAAACCTTCAACGTAACAATTTTCTCAAATATAACAGTTCAAGTAGATTTCTTTAGTAAATTTAAAGTCAAAATACTTTTTTTAACTATTGACATTGTAAAAAATAGATAAATTTATTATAAAATACGTTTTATGTTAGAAAAATGTGTGAAAATGTGTTACAAGCTAACTTTAGAGCAAAAAGGGTAATCATTATTGATGTGTTAATTGATCAAACATAAATTGTAATTTTCTATGCATATATATTTTTTATGGTCTTATTAGATTAATTATAAGTTATAATTTATATATTAAAATTATTTATGTATTAAAACGATTGCGTGAGTTAATATAATCAAAACTATTTGAATTTATGTAATTTTCATAAATTTTCTAAGTTTCTAAAAAGAGAGTTTCTAACTAAATTGACAATGTTTGTAACTTTTGATACAATTATCATTTCATTCATATTTTTTACATTTTTAGACTACGATCAAAGCATATGTTGTATTCTTTATTACTAATATATTAAAAATAAATAAAAAATAGAATTTTTTTAATCTTTAAAACAAAAAAAAACCGTTTTTTTGCACTCTTTTAGAAAATATTTTGATATCGATAACAATTTTGGGACAAGACCCATTGATTTACAAGCATTTTAATATACAAAGTGGTTGTGGGACGACGCGGAGTACATGTAAATCAGTACGTGCTGCACCCACTTACACTATACAACCACTAGATGTATTAAAATAAATCAAAATTTGTTGTAAAAAAATGCTAAACAATTCTATTTTGAAATTTTGAAAAAAATAAAATTTTAATTTTTTCTTATTATTGATAAATAATAAAAAAATAATCTTTAGACATACTGTAAGACTGTAGAAATTATTTTTAAAAAATAATTTAAAATGATATTTATTTCTAAAGTTATAAGCATTATCAGTTGGGTCAGAAACCTCTGTATATAAAAATTTCAAAACAATAAATTTATTATATGAACTTAATCTGTTTTAACATATACTATGCTAAACCATTAAAAGTTAATTATGATAGTCCCTAAAAGTAAAGAAACAAGTCAATTATTACAAAAAATGAGAACAATAGAAATTTGTTTCCTTACTTACTGAACACCTATATATAAATTAATAGACCTCACAGCCATTAAGATTTTGTTTTCTACACATATAAGTATAATTTTTATAAAATTTTGAGGGGCCAATCATTCCCCATATTTAAGTTTTTAATTGTATTACTATCATTATTGTTAATAACCTTTATGAAGCGTTGCTATAATGAGAATGTAATTATATCACGCAGTGTTATAGTAGTTGTAATAGTTAGATATTCTTATTTAGATATATTTAAATAGCTATCCAGTAGTAAACTTATTTATCTCTATCAGGAAATATGTTTTCTTATTTAAAGAAAACATTATTCATTGATAATAATCTGTATGCATAAAAGAATCTTTGTTTTTTTAAATAAATAATCATATTGTTCTTAGTATTAATATAATTAATATATCTTTATTAAAATAGTTTTCAAATAAATTATAGTCGATTTTACCAAATTTTATAACTGTAGATATTATTAATAATTTGTAGCTTTATGATTGTACTTAAATTATATCTTAACGATATTGTATATCGCAGGGTTTAAAAAATAATATTTATTATGCTTATGTTATGTGTTTTCATTTGATTTTATATAACTATAAGTAATTTTAACTAAAGTATAGAACCGAGAAATAGACATATTTTGATTCGTTTTAATATTTACGAATTTGCAATGACAATATTATTTGAATTTATTTATATTATCAAGATGAAGCTATTGTAAATTACTACTACGTAATGAATAAGAAGGTAAGCAAATCATATCTTTTCCAGATTATTTAAATACACAGCGAAAATAAATTATTTAAAACATATAAACATTAATAAAGAAGAATAAAATAAACAGAATACATAGAATTTTAAATTTTAAATTTAATCCATTAAGCTAAGAAAGTAGTAATTTTTTTTATTAATTCAAAATCTTAGAAATATATTTATGAAAATTAAAACTTCATAACTGTGTATTTAAATACATTAACTGTAAAATTTAAATTAAAATTTTTCGAGGTTACCTAAATTAAGAATTTATAGATTAAGAAGTTCAAAAAATTTACATACTTTGTTTTTTTAAGGAATTAGGTATAAAATAAATAAATATTTTAGGAATAATAAAATATTTACAATTTAGTTTTATTTAATCATTTAAAAAATATATAATAATAGATAAATGCATACAAATATTATTTTAAGTAAAAATATTAAAACCTTAAAAATAATATCTTAATAATCAAAATATCATTTTGTGTTTAAATCAGGAGAATTAGTATTATTAAAAGCTAAACGTTTTTGTTTACACTCATTTTCAAAGTCTTTAAGTGATATTTTAATTTCGTTTTCTCTATGCATTAAGAGTTCGTCAGTTTTAATTTTTAATTGATCTACAAATTGACGGATATCTTCTAACAATTCATTGTAAATATGTTGTTGCTTTAAATTAGCATGCTTATATTTCAATGCAATATGCTTTACTTTTGAATACTTTTGACGCCATTTCTCAGATTCTGATACAGTAGTCGCCAACTTTTCTTTCATTTCATGCATCTAAAAAATTTGTATCAATTAAAGATCATCATAAATTTCTTAATTTTTTAAAAACAATTTTTATTCATTAATTTATATAATTAAAAAAAGTTAACTATTTGAAGTAATAAGAATAATTTAAATACACTACTATAGTAATATCTCGGTAAACTAACTTGGCGTTCCTATAAAGAAGTATACGAAAAATGTTATTATTTTATTTTATAAAACAAATATTCTACCAATAACTCCTAATAAATAAATAAAGTATATTAATAATGTCATAACTTCCTTAAAAAAAATTTACATGGTCGCAGGGCTTCCTAATTTTAAATGTTCAACTACATTGCTTCAATTTCTTGAAAAAAGAATGGATCAATACAATTTTTTTTTGTAAGCTACTAAGGATTGCTCCTTTTGTTCGACAAAACTTTTTTTGATAATTTGACTATTTCTCCTTATGAAGGGAGTTTAAACCTTGAAACACACCAACAAAAATAGATCTTTTTCAACTATTTTGTGAAAATCTTGCAACCATTAAACATTAAAATATTAAAAACATATTGCTTTAATTAAATTATAGCTTAGGTAATTTACTAAAAGTTAAAAAAAAATTCTATGTACAAAATTTAAAGAAAAAATTGTTTTAACTTCGATTTGTAGCTGAAAAGTTAGTAGTTTTACATTGCAAGTTTTTCCATTTTTTTTAACCAATACACGTCAATACTTCCGAAACTACTGAATTAAATTTGATCAACAATGTGTAACATAATATGTCAAAATGAAGCTATCAGAGGCATAATTTTAAAAAATTCATCTCAGTCTTGGCAATAAAGAGCAATGTCCCAAAAAATTAATATTGTCATAAAACAGTCAGTGTTGATATTTTTAGTTATTACTTTGTATTGAAATAACTCCTTAAAAACTATAAAAAAGTTTATTTTTAAAAAAAACTTATTTATGGATTATTAGAAAATATTTATTGAAAATACTTCAAATATTTTTCTTGCTGTAGACATGCTTTTTCTGAAAATTCATTAACCAAAGTAGTTAAATAAATTCTAGCTTTTATACAAAGCTGGGAGAGTTAATATTACTATGAATTTTTTTTTATGTGTGTTACTACATTCTCTCATTGGACCAATTTTTTCAACAATACATCAAATGATCACAAATCGTCTCTAGTTACAGACATTACTCTAAAAAAATTAAAAAATTTTCCTTCATTCCCCGTAAATAATGGAAATCAACCAAATGATAATAATTTTTTAATTGGTAAATTTTGAAATATTTAGTCTTTTTTTCTTAAACTGACAAAACTTTTTGAAAAATTAACGAACCAAAACATTTTTTTTTTTGAAAGAAATACCTTATGAATTTCCCATTTATTTGACACATATATTTTGAAAATTTGACCCTTTACCTGTCCACAGGGGTAATTTAAAATAGCGACTTTTACATAAAAAGTTAACGTCTTAAAACATAATTGTATCAATATGTTTATGAGCAAATAGAATGATAAATTTGAGGGAATTTAAATTTATATACTATCCACCATAAATTTTTTTACTCTCCACTCGCCACATGATTGGTTCGGTGAGAAAAAGTGGTAACAGACCCAAAAAAAATACACATCATAGTAAAATTAATACCTCCTCAGCCTTGAATCGAAGCTAAAAAACTGTCATGTCTAACAAAAATTACATGATAATAGACTTTAGAAGCTGATAACTCATAGAAACACATCATTGGAATGTTTTTTTAACACGCAACTCTTCTTCAAAAATTATCAATATACAAAGTTATTTTCGATGTTTCTCCGAGTATTCATTCTCCTTTCCAATGCCGCAAGTGTTTACGTTTTGGTCACATCCTCAAGTTCTGTCGCAGTAAGGAGCACTGTAGTCACTGCAGTCTCTTTGACCACATTGAAGCTAATTGTAACTACAACTAGTTAACTACAACTCCTTCGTGTATTTTTTGTAAACATAACCACCCTGCGACGGATAGATCTTGCAGCGAATGGTCTATGCAAAAGGACATTAAAAAATAATGGGCACAAACAATATCTCGTATTCTGAAGCCTCCTCGATCAAATGTTCCAGTTTAGTTAATAAAGCTTTTCTGATGTTGCAAAAAATACAAATATATCTAGTGTCAAAGTCGTAGCTTTTCCTTCCTTTCCTTCCTTTAGCCATTTTACCAATACAAATACAAAAAAACATAATAAGAAAAAAGTTATAAATCTCGAGTCCCTTCCCCCCACTTTCCTCCATTACCAAATGACTGTTCTAGGCCAATTTCGCCCAATGGCAGATTTTTTAAATATATGTCCCAAAATCGCAATATAAATGCTGATGACCGCAACTGGATTTCCTGCTTTTCACAACATATCGCTCAGCTACTTGCGAGCGATCCTAAATTAATTTCCTCTTCTTCAATACTTCAATTAACTATCGAATCTTCATTAATTAACATCCACTATCCTTTATCTGACAATGATGACACGTTTTAATAGTAATCCTAACTATCCTTTTTTCAACATTCTTCAACGGAACGTAAGAAGTTTATCCCCTAGAATGCACGATCTTTCTTTTCTTTTCTCTAACAATAAATGTTCTTTTGCTCGCTTCTTAATCATTCCATAAATCTTTGTCGGTATCGAGGCGTTTACCAATTTACTCAATCCCATTGCCATTTGGTCTATTTACATTCTCCCCTCTTCCAACCCTCTTTCTATACTAATTGATAATATTTTTTCTTTAGTTTCTTGTAATTATATTATAAGCGGCGACCTTAATGGTCAAAATCCCTCCTGGGGTGCACTAATCTCCAATCATCGTGGTAACATTATTTCGTCTGCTATTTCTGCCTACAATCTTTGTATTCTCAATACAGGTCTCCCTACCCTCCTTACAGGCCTTTCCTAAATGGATTCCGCGGTTGACCTAACCACTTCATCTCCCTCTCCCTCTTTCTCGTTGTCGTTGATCATTTTCCCATTATTATTTCCCACACAAATTTTTCCACTCCCTTTCCACCCTCCACGCACACCGCTGTTAACAGATTTAATTATTCTTTTATCCATCTTTTCGAAATTACATGACCATTTTCACTTCTAATTTCACAACTGGTTGGTGTTTACAATTACTCGAGCCGTTAATTTATCTGTTCCTTTAATTAAAAAAACCAAAAAGTCTTTTTCCTCCTCTCCAATATGGTGGTCTTTCTCTTACACCTACTCAATCAATGAGCGTACTAAAGCTTTTAGAAAATATAGATTCTCGGGTATATTTTACGACTTTTTTGAGTACCAAAGGGTACGCGCCTCTGTTCAAGTAACACTTAAACAAGCAAAAATTATGTCCTGGTGCTCCTTCTATTCCTCACTGAACCCTTCATCTAGCATGTACAATACCTGGGTTATTGCCAAAAAATTTAAAAACTGTCTATTAGGCAGGTCCTCAAATTTGAAGTTAAAAATTTTGTATACAAGACCCTTTAAATTTTGTTATTACTATGAGCAAACATTTTTGATAAAGTTTGGTCGCAATTAATTAACCCCTTCCCGTACCGCAAAAGGGTTAAAATTGGACAAATGGGTTGTTTTTGTCATTTTTTGCTTGTATTTCAAAAACAAGAAAATACACAAAAAAATTTTCAGATATTAATTTGTATATCTAAACTTGTTTTATAAAGTACGTATTCACATATTTCCTCGTAAGTTCGTTATTTAGTGTAAAATTTAAAAATATAGAATAATTTAATTATTCAACAAAATCGATTTTTTTAAATTGTTTTTTTCGTATCTTACGTATTATCGATTTTACTACAAAAAGTGTCAAAAAAATATATATTTACAATAAAATTTTAAATAAAAAGATATCTTTTTAAAATTTTGAATTGATTCGTCTTTTTTTTTTATTGCGAATTTCGTTTCATAAATTGGCAGTAATTACAAGAAATACAAATAAAATTGAATTTTTTTATATTTATATTATTAGAACCATTAATTTAAAAAAATATATTAAAAAACAAATTAAATTAAAATTATAGAAAATTCGTGATTATAAATTATTTACTTGCATTTTTTATATCAATTTATGTAACAAAGAAGCTAATTTTGCAGAAATGAAACAAGGTAAGAAACGTTATCACCGTTAACAAATCATTTCAATTTTAATAAATTTCATAACATTTTATTGAATTTTATTACAGTTATGGCACTTAAAATATTTTTATAGTGATTTATTTTTGTAAGTTTATTAGTATATATTAAATAACTTTGTTTTAAATTTTCATTAAAAATGCCATGCCAAACAATTTATTTTGTCGAAGAGTTCGAACTTGGTGATAGACGAGTGTCTTATATACTGGAAAAAATAATATAGTTCCAACAAAACATATAGCTGATTGTGTAAAAAAGTTAAAAAAATATTATGAAACATGGCGAGATGATATTGAAAAATCAAAAAGTAGAGTTAATGAAAAACAACAAATAAATTGAAATAATTTCAAAAAGAATTAGATAATCTATTTGACACATAAACGTTCTAGACATTATAAAAATTGAAAAAGACAAAAAGTTTTTGATTTTACAACGACAGCCAGGTTGTCCTGGATGTATGCTGGGAATTGATAAAAATTTATCAGATACAGAAAAAAGAAAAGCCGACAGAATTGAATGGGAAGAAACAAAAAGGCTTAAGTTTAATACTGCTTCTAAAGAAATAGATCCAAATAGATAACTTAATTTTTATACATATAGTGCGTATTTATATTATTATTTCAACATACCTTAATGTAAAATATATTTTAACTAATAGTTTAGAATATTTGAGTTCAGAAGAATCAGAAAATTAGAACACTGATGTAATAAAAAGTTCTCAACCAGGTCCATCAATAGTTAAAAAGATACTTGAAAAAAAACCATTGAACTCTGTTATGTCACCTCGACTTTGTGCTGCATTGTATAAGTGTAAAGTAAGCTTAAACTTATTTTATTTACGGGTCATTCGATG